TGATGCTGCGGTGACCTCTCACCTGATGCTGGATCTTTAGTTTTCTGGGTTTAACGATGATTAATGTTCTTGTTTTCACAGGATCGTTTGTATTTCTCCAAATATTTTTACAAAGTCTCCATTGTTTACTCTCTGAATTATCAGTAGAGTAGGCTTTAAATAAAGTTTATTTCAAATTAATCCTTTTAAACCAAAGTTAGTTTCCTTCACTCGGTTTTTTCCATGGACTTTGGTCTGAACTAAAATCTCTGATTTTCTCCATGGACTTTGGTCTGAACTAAAATCTCTGATTTTCTCCATGGACTTTGGTCTGAACTAAAATCTCTGATTTTCTCCATGGACTTTGGTCTGAACTAAAATCTCTGATTTTCTCCATGGACTTTGGTCTGAACTAAAATCTCTGATTTTCTCCATGGACTTTGGTCTGAACTAAAATCTCTGATTTTCTCCATGGACTTTGGTCTGAACTAAAATCTCTGATTTTCTCCATGGACTTTGGTCTGAACTAAAATCTCTGATTTTCTCCATGGACTTTGGTCTGAACTAAAATCTCTGATTTTCTCCATGGACTTTGGTCTGAACTAAAATCTCTGATTTTCTCCATGGACTTTGGTCTGAACTAAAATCTCTGATTTTCTCCATGAGGTTTGCTGTGGTGCCGTCGTTGTTAAACCTGTTCAACCTCAGGTACTCTCCTCAGACAGAAGCATCTTTGCAGAAGTGGAGTTCTTTTTTTTCTTTTTTTTTTTTTATTGCCAGTGTCACCAGAATCCACAATCAGCTGATGTTGCCAGGCAAACGTGCCATCTCCAGCCAATCGGCACAGATTTGGCCAACACTGCTTAGCAACAAAAGTTAAAAACTGATGCACTTAAAACAGTCTTTGAAAAAGTGGTGGAGAGACTCGTCAGTGTCACCGAAGTCTGCGGATGAAACACTGCAGGGGCCACGCAGGGGCCACGCCCCACCACGCAGACAAAAGACGAGAAAAAGAAAGGTTTTTCTCCCAGCAGTGAACACACACACACACACACACACACACACGCGTCATGTGACCTGTGACCTCCTGACGTCCTGGCAGGAAACAGTCGAACTCTGCAGATTAAAACACATCTAAAACGATGACAAATAAAAACGACAACAGATTTAAGACATGATCACCCAAGGTTTTAATTCCGTCCACTAGGGGGCGTTTCAGAGTTTTGAAGAACCACGGCCCGGGGAGAGATGATCTCTGGTTCGTGGAGGTGTTTTGATCAGTGACACAGGAGAACGTGTGTCAACCGACCCGGTTCTCCACCGGTTCTCCACCGGGTCGGAATTCTGCTGGAAAATAAAACCTTTTTTAACTACACCTATACAGAAACGACACCAGGGGGCAGCAGAGACGCCTGTTGGAGGCACCGTGGATCTAATGGAGCCAATCACTGACGGAGAACATAAACATAAACATAAACATAAACATAAACATAAACATAAACATAAACATAAACATAAAGACCCAAATCACCTGCTGTTACTGTTGTCACCTGGAACTGGAGGTTAAGAGTGGACCCCCCCCCACCACCACCACCACCATCTGTCCATCTGTCCATCAATCACCGGGTCGCGGGGTCAGCAGTCTCCACGACCTCCACCCAGGTCACACCGTGCCCCCCCCCCCTGCAGGTGGTGCGGTCCACTGGGAGGTACCAACCGTCTCTGGGCCAATGAAATTATGATGAGATTAAAATGTAGTTTTCCTTCAAGGTCGACAGAAACGGTCGAGGGTTCGATTCCTCCTCCAGGACTCAGAGGAGAGCAGCGACCGCGGCCAGGACCAGGAGCACCGATGAGCGGCTGCTGCTGGAGCCCCCACCTGTGCAGACAGGACGCTGTTCAGGAAACAGCCTTGTGACATCACTTCCTGTCTGCTCTGGGTGTAAACATTCTGTCTCACCTGTGGCGGCGCCCTGGAGCTCAGTGGAGACTTCTGTCGACGAGAAACCTGAAAACATCAAAGACTTCAATGTTTTTCTTTAAAGATATGCCAGACCCCCAGACCTCCAGACCCCCA